TTNACCCCCCCCCCCTAAGAACTCGCGAACGGTATGTCGTATGACCACCAAATTTTCAGAGAATGGTGTACTAGTAAAAATTTATCATATCTACAATTTTTATGTCGTTATGTAGTAATATGACGTCATTATGACGTCATTAATGTGATTTTATTGGCCAAAACCGTCTAAATAGGTTTTTCGCTGAAAACTAAATGGTATTCAACATAAAACATAAGTGTTTATGACAGAATATTATGGTGTACTAAGTCTTATGTTGCCCATAGCAAAACCGGTGACGTCATAAAATGACGTCATACATATTTAAGATATCCGCCATCTTGGATCATCAATCTTGAAATTTCAAAAATAGTTTTTTTTCATGATAAAGCCTAAAATACATTGTAAACATACTAAAGACCTTCATTAAAACATTTTTTGGAAAAAGAAATGGAAATATTGATGAAATTTTTTAATGAAAATAACCTGTATATACCTGTTCTAATGATATGGTCCGCCATCTTGGATTTTGGTCAATGACGTCATCAAATTAGCATAAATCATGCATATTTAATGATAAAATTTACATAAAATTATATAGGATGTTATTAATATTAGAAATCATGAGTATCATTGACATAAAACCCATAAAATTCTATTGTTGAAACAAAAGTACTAAATTTAGCAAAAAATGCCTGTCAGAAACCCGTTGCCATGGCAACACAAAAAATTATTGTCTCATTCCAATGATAGAGAATTGTTGCCAACAATATTCTAGGAAAAGTCACCAAGTTTGGCCGTTCTACGGCTAGCCGTTCAGACGCTAGGTGACATCAAAGTTGCCGCGGGCACTTTTAGCCCCCCCCCCCCGGTCTAGGTAGGGTTAAAGGAGTACTAATCTCCAGAAGGGGGTGCTGTATTCCGACAAGCATTAATTTTAGGAAGTGAAAAATGCATATTACTTTACAGTATACAATAAAATGCCCACTTTGTGCGCAAGTCTTAAAAGGCTTCGAATCTAGGACAAACTCTCCAAATACCCTCAAAACCATCCCAGAATACACCACGCTACCCCATTGGTGTCTATGTTTTAAACAAAAAGTTATGTTACAGACCTAACTTCGGGGGCGATAAGAAAAATTCGTACCGTTTTGTGTTCTTTGATATCTTACCAACCATTGCCCTTCTTAAAGTCCTTATCGCCCCTCATTTATGTCGAAAATATTGACGATAAAAAAAACGGCGTAATCTAGTTATCCTTTCCATGAGTCGCGTAATCTAATTATCTGTTCAATTAATACGTACATGCAAATAAGTTGAGAAAATCAAAACACGCAGGATAAAACTGGCGCCCACTGTATTAGACATCCTGATATTATAGTATCCAAGCCACAGGTCAAGCAAAGTAAAGCAAGTAATCAGCTTATTAGTGTGCTTGTCTCCTACCATTTTCGCCGAAAAATGTTTATGTTGACTTGAAGTGTATGAGTATTGCGTAAGCCAGAGTTCCCGGATGTATCAACTGTGGTTCAGCTAGGGGGAAAATGGTATTAACATCACTTTACAAACAAACGCCGCGCAACTCGTACAAGCGAAATTATGTACAAGGTCGGCTAGTGATGTATTCATTGTAGTATGATGTATCGAAAAATAGCACTTCCTTCTGGAGCATGTGGGGTGTAGACAGTTGTGGCTGACCGAATCTTTGTCTTTTCCAGCTCAAAATACGATCACCCTTCCTGATGATGGCATCACTCGAGCCAACCTCGGTGACGACTCTATTCTGGAGTATGGGTATACAACCGCGCCTGGTGTCACCGTGCTGTTTGAGGTCTGGAAAAAACAGCCATCAAGCGGCATTGCCAACAGGGCCAACAATGGACCCTTCAACGTCTTTGCTGCTTGGCGAGTAAGTATGGCTAACATGCATTAGATTGCGCCCATTGGATCACAGCAAGTTTCTTTCAGCAAATCCATGAAATTCACAAGTCCAATTATTGCCCTTGTCGAGAAGGCTATGAAATCACTTAGTGTGAGAGACTATTCAGTGTAACTCTTGAAGGCGTAGTTCGATATTAATGGTTTTTGGCACTCAGGTTACCCTTGGGAAGACCAGGGTCAAGTTAAAAAATGGGCCTCGATTGACATTGATTTAAAATCCCCTGTGAACAGGACTTAACAATCCTATATGGTAATGTCCAGCTCCAGGGCAGGGCGGAACCTGTTGGGCAGGCCAGCTTGAAACTTTTCAGCGTGACCAAGGACGATGCAGGACAGTACCAGCTCTCTACCAGCTTCAGCGATGGAACGTCAGACAGCAAAGAGAGAACCCTGATCGTTCAGTGTAAGTCTATGTTATGTTACAATGAGTTGAAATTGAAAATATAAATGCATGTCATATTTGTATGTGGAAATGTATACTGGTTGAAATTGATATGTAAAATGTTTCTTCAGCATCTCTTATTTCGGTAAGTTTTGGGAGTAAGACCACACCAATTAAATCAATTGGTTCTTGGATTCTTTTCTGATTTGAAAAAAAAATCAGGTTCTGAGTCAACTCCAAAATGCTCATGTTTTGGTTCCAGTTATAGAAAGCTCCTTGTCTTCTTAGTTGTTACAATTTTTCATCTATCAATATGGTGGTGTGATAAAACGTTCAAAAAGTATTGTTTGAATTATCAAAGCAGCCTGGTATGTTGACATTAGGGATTTTGTCATAGCTTCCGGGGCTATCTGAGGATGCCCAGGTATTTTTTTTGCCCTGTCGCTTCAAATTGTTTTTTATAACGTCCAAGAACTAACAATTTAAATTGGTGTGGCCTAATTGACTTTTGCTTCCTTGTTTAGATGCTCCAGAGGACACGACAGTCACTGCTACCCCTGGCCTGATAGCTATGGAAGGTGACGCTCAGGTGGTGCTCACTTGTCAGTCAGGTGGCATCCCCGCACCTACCTACACCTGGACAGGTGACAACCTGCCTGCCGATGCCGCACAGGATCCAAACACAGGAGCCCTGACCATCACCAACATCCAGAGGAGCGCGGCAGGCCAGTACACCTGCACAGCTGACAACGGAGTCCCGCAGCTGCCTGGAGACAACCCTACAGCACTGACCAACAGTGTCGACGTTCAGGTCCAGTGTAAGTCTACCATTCCATCATTATGTTTACCTTGGCAGAAGCTCAGTTTCTTTCTATTTCTGCTCCAAACAAATCAATGATATGCACCTGACGTCTGTCACCATGGTAACTGGTAGAAGACACTGTGGTGGTGGGTTACTTTATGTAGCAGGGTAAAGTTAGAGGACTGCTCACCATATTTTTGGAGGTGTTTGAATAAGAATAAAAAGTAGTATTTTGTTGGCTAGACCATGTCAAGGTAGACATTATGTATTTGCTTTGCAAAGTATTCAGCTGAAAACCATCTCATTTTAAGACAAATGATTTGTTGTCTCCATCTGAAATTTAAGACTGTACTTGTACTACCCAGAGTACCAGGAATGAAATCTTTTTAGCATGTCTTTATTCTATGTTGAATTCCTGTTCCAACCAGATGGTCCTAGTTCTGCCACCATCACAAGGGACCCAGCAGACAAGGTTGTGCAGTGGAACACTGTCACCCTCAGCTGTGCTGTGGACACCGCCAACCCTCCTGCCACCTACACCTGGACCAGAGTCCAACGGAACCCTCCCACCAACACAGACGTGGACCAGATCGCCGGCACACTGAGGCTGAGGTCTATCCAGCCTGACGCTGTCGGAACCTACCAGTGTTCTGCCTCCAACCGCATCGGAGACCCTGCTATCGCCACTCACGTTATCGATGAAGTGGAAGAAGGTATGAATACGACATCCTTGGTCTCTCTGGATCGTGGCTCTGTAGTAGTGCTGAGTTACTGGATTGCCTTTTGGTAATATGAGTTTGGAATGAAAGCATTATACTTTGCGCTGATTTCTAAGAATGTATCTTTTTACTCAGCAAGCTTGTTTGTGATGTCTGTGATTTGTAAAAACTGTTTTCCCTTTCAGCTTAAATCAGAATGGAGCCATGGTCCAGATTTCATTGTTTCCAAAATGTCACATTTCAAACAGTCCTGTTCTCATTTCCTACCACCTAGTGGTCACATTAAAAATTCAGCATTGAAAATGCATATACATATTTTACTAAGATACTTTACTTTATTTTAATAATTGATATCAAAAGGAGGACAGGACTGGATTTCAACTTTGGTACTATCTAGTGTTCCATAAATCCAAGTTGGTAATTGGAATTTTTGATCATTGAATCAAGATTGACTCAAAATTTGAAGCATAAAACATTCATAATGAGATATGTGTAAAGAAATCGGATAGCACTAGATAGTCTTCTTTATTTGACCTGTGTTGAAGATAGAATTTGATGTGCAAATTTCGAAAGTGTTAGCAATTTCTATATGAATAGCCTTTTCAAGCAAAAACACTCCACTGCTAATGCAGGTTGTGGGGCATCTTGTGTGGAAATTTATATTTATAACTTGTTTACTCACAATGGTGGATAGCCTGGATGCCAGACCCAAAGCACACTGGACACAAAATATCTCAGTGTGCAAGGGTCTGGTAGGGCCAGATAGACCTGCCAGTCGAACGCTCAGTATCTGAGCGTAAGACTGAGCGTAAGGCCCCATTGGTGGCACAGCAGGAAGCAATTTTACACCTCTGTTATGATTGGTTAAACCTCCCAGCTGTATCTTTGAATCTTTAACCAGTGGCCACCAGCAGATGAGATTAAACTGTAGATAAGGTTATTTTGTCCTGGTGTGTCAGAGGACTGTTACCTAAACAAACAGGAAAGCCTGGGCTGTACACTACTTCTAATTCTTGCTGTTATTTTGGAAAACAAACTCGAAAAACATTTAGAAAATTGACTGGTTAATGATTAACTGTTGAGCCCAATATTGTCTCCTGCTGACCAATGGTGGTACCATGTAACAGGCTACCTGTGGTGTGAGGGGTCATCAATCACAGCTTCTCCTCCCTTTGCTCGAGAGCATTTCCTAAGAGACCCTACCAGACCCTTGCACACTGAGATATTTTGTGTCCAGTGTGCTTTGGGTCTGGCATCCAGGCTAAATGGTGGAAAGGTGGCAACATAAGTGGATTTTTTCTGAATTACTTACCGGTGTTGGGAAATTAGTGGACCGGTGGCTCATTGTCCAAACTATAACCCAAGAACCAAGAATACGGTCTTTGATGTACCAAATGTTCTAGCTCCTCCAAAAATATCCTGTATATATCTGTAAACCTACAACTGCCAGAATATCTTCAGATCTTTCACAGGGTAGCTGGGTCTCACCACTACCCAGCCCGTTTTAACCAGTCTTTAAAGCTACCACAAGTTCACCTGGAATGTGGTAGGCGCATGTTCAGTTACAGAGTAGCTGGAGTGAGATTCCACAGACTATGAAATCAAACTTCTACGTTTTCCTCCTTCAAGCGCATGTTGAAAACCTGGGCTGACCTCTGACCTCATCTGACCTAATGACAAATGGACCTGTACATGTATACGGACTACGAGTATGGATACTGGCTTTGTATTTGATGACATGTTTGTTTTGTCCTGTTGAACATTACTTCTGTATGTTTTACATTGTTTTGTTCCCTGTTAAATATGTATGTTTTATGTACATGTACTATGTGTCCAGGGCCCCACTGCAAAGCAGTATAAATAAATGAAAAAAATAAAATAGGGATTCATCCTGCGTTATGAAGGTGACTTTATTTTAAAAACACGTTGTGACCACCCCTGAAAATATTTCCGGCAAATATATCCAGGTAGTTCGATGACGTCACTTCCGTTTCCCCTGGTCACCTTATACCTGACGTTGACCTTTGTCCAACCAACCATAATCTTGAATAAACCACTAATTCCATATCCTCATATTTCTAGGTGTTCTCTGTGGACCCGTAGACGTCATCGATGACGTCACTTCCGTTTCCCCTAACCATGGAGGGAACTTTACTATTGGCCAACAGGCGACTGTCACGTGCAAAAACGGACAGAACGTTACGCTACAGTGTCAGAAGAACGGAACCTTCAACATTCCCACACCTTACTGCAGTATACGTACAGGTGATTACGTCCGTGTGATGTAGGGTCCGTGTTTTGTAGGGTCCGAATTATTGCCTTGAACTTTGTAGCGAACGGGTATTTACTTAATGTAAAGAGAAATAAACTGTTCTCCTACTCAAACGAATTTGACTCACCGGAATTTTCTACCAAATACCTCGGTCTTCGTCAGCTATCTGGACCAAGTGTTGTAGTCATGTGACTTTATTCGACGTGTGACGTCACCACTGGGACAAAGTTCGGCAGAAGTCGGTACCGCCCTCCGTCCCGGTTGAAATAATGTTGGTGTGCCCTGATGTATGTAACATTCCCTTTGCCATGTCCACATATTTTCTAGGTACGTGTGTTTGTAACTGCCATAAATGATAGACAATAATATCAAAGATTAGCATCGTTTTTTTATCATAGTTCTTTTTTTTTGTTTGGTTCTTCAGAGATGGGCCATGGACAGAGCGTGGTGGTGTGGGCTGTGCCGGTTTCCGTCATAAGTGTCGGACTTCTTGTGATCGTGGTAGCTGCTTTCTTCATCTTCAAACGTAGGAGGTATGTGTTCCATCCAAGATGTCTAATCTTTATGTAAAGGAATTACCATGTCTGCACATAGATAAGATAAGGCCATGGAGGTTTTACCTCCATGATAAGGCGATATAAAGATATGATGAGAATCTATTTGAAACCTTTCCATGGTCTGGATAGCTGTTTCGATGTTTACGTGAGGTATTTGCGTACGTGAAAGGCATCCAATGCAAATTCAGGACGGCAAAACTTAATAAGGAAATCTGTATTAGATTTACTTTTATTGCCATTTCTTAGCACATTTATTTTCGTCATCATGTCATACTTGAAGCGTTTGAAATATCAGGAGTATAAGTATACCATATTAACATGAAAGTTCATCTGTGTTGGTATAAAACATTTTGATAACAGTTAAACTTTACGTGACCAACACCAAGTAAATTGGGACTTACCCCAAATTTTCGACTGACTCCGTCAGTCATGTTCACGGAATGAATGGACCCTTCTACTGCAGCTTCCGGGACGTGACGTCGGAAACACGTGGTTGCAGCAGAGGGTCATACGTGGCAGATAACCTATAGGAGTGAAGGAGGCGGTGTACATTCGGGCCAACCGTCCAACACTGAACAGAGACGGGGGCGTCAAAGGTTATCTACCACGTATGATCCTCTGCTGCAACCACGTGTTTCCGACGTCACGTCCCGGAAGCTGCAGTAGAAGGGTCCATTCAGTGAACAAGACTGACGGAGTCGGTCGAAAATTTGGGGTAAGTCCCAATTTACTTTGCGTTGGTCACGTAAAGTTTAACTGTTATCATAAGTATACTACATGATAGGATTGATTAATCTTACTACACTAGTTTAGAAATTGCTCCAAATATTTTGACTTTGAAAATCAAGCTTTAATATCAAATCGCTTCGGGTGCCTTTATAACTCTTAGCTGACACGGCCTTAGTACTTTATATTTCACTTTACATAATCCGACTGTGATCACGCTTTCGTGGACTATTTCACACAACAGGGCTACAAAACAGCGAGGAACCTCCAATGACGAATGCGAGATGGTCGACCCACAGGACTTCCGTCCGCCGACCAGGAGTCCACAAGCCCCGGCGACAGTTTCTCCCCCACTCGGGGCATCTGAGACCCAGTCGGCGGGCTCTGAGTACCAGGCGCTGGACCCGAGGACCATGTGTGATACTGACAGTGAGTACACAAGTCTACGAGACTATGAGATTGCGTACGACCCCGAATACGAGAACACGTTTGGAAAGGTGTATGAAAATGCCTGATTATGTCAAGTAGATTTTGTAGCCGCAGATTGACATTCAGGTCAAGTTGGCAGTCTAAGACGACCCAGACTTCGGCCCCTAGTACGAGAACACATTCGAAAAGGTGTATGAAAATGCCTGACTATTTTAATCAATATATTTTGTAACCGCAGATTGGCATTAAGTTCAAGTTGGCAGTCTGAACTGTCTCCACAGGTTGGGTCCACTTTTGTCGTAACAAACTCTCATCCTGTAAGGTTACTATCCTAAAAGTACAATTTAGCCCTTTTGTCCATATCATCAAAGAGCTATTCGTTTCTAGGGACATCTAGTTTGAATCAAAAGTGCAAAAAATTAGCCGAGGCCTTTTCCAAGTGTTTCAAGTGTTCCAAATATAAGTTGTTTAATTTTACATATAAAGAGCCTAGCAACGGACAACATACAGCAAAGTACTTTAAGTAGTCATATTATACTATGGTTCATTGTTAAATATCAATAGTCAAGAATTCTTAACTGTAGAAAAATTTCATAAGATGCAGTATTCAAAATGTACACTAAGACTTACTAAAAATGGTACCTTACTTTAATTATATTTTTATGTTGTGAAATTTTGATATCTTATGACATAATCAAGTAGAAAATAAATGACATTCTTATTATATTGTAACCTGTATCATAAGGAAAGAATTGTACTTTTTACTGTATCAAAGACAATTTTCGATATTTTGAATATTCAAATGCAACTGATAGATTTATACTTTTGATACGCATAGACAAACCTTGAATAAGAGCAATTGTTTGTTCAATCATCTACACATATGCAAAGTTTATTGTACTTGTACATGTATACTACTTAGTACAACGCTTTGTCTAGTATGTCGTATATGTATGGTCGTTTATACCTTTTTTTATTTTTTCACATATAATAAAACTATCCATTCGACGTATGAATTCAGGATTAATGACACGAACCGATGTGTTATTGGTGCCATAAAGCATACATCGTCCATTGCACGATAAGTCGAACACAAAGATGGCGGAGTGACTGATCTCGTACCCAGGGTCATGTGAATCAGTCGATGCTATTGGTCGGGGTGTTTATGGATTTAACCTAACCACTTGTGAGATGACGACCTCACATCGGCGCAAGCCTACTAATAATGTCTTTTTAAATGTTACTGGTTGAGATCGTCTTAAATGTCCTTACTGTTTGATCTCATTGGGTTATCCTTTTACAAACGAGACCACTTATTTTTCCTGTTTTTCAACAGTGTATTCTGTCAGTAGTGTATTCCTGACTCAACTATAAAGTTGGTTTTATATCACGATAGATGCATGTCCCGTAGCCTGTTGACTAGGGCTAGAAGTCGTGTGTAAAATGCGACAGTGTAATATTTAGACAATAGTTACATGGTAGGACATCTGTCGTTTAACTTCAATGTGTCATCGTCCGTCTGTTATAGAACTTAGTCAACTACATGTAGTTTTCTTGTTTTAGTATCTGTGAATACTCTAGATCTGGTTACAGTTGGAGCATGTTACTTAATGCAGGAAAATGTAATTTGTTTTACTGCAATTCTGAAATTGCAGTAAATAAGGTAGAGATAGCTTAGAGCTAGAGATTTGTCAACTTTTTGCATCTCAGTTTCAACAATAAAGCGCTTTATGTGCCTTATTTATTTGTCTTCGTCGTTGTCGTTTTTCCATGCTGTACCCTTATGTATTGTGTGCAAAATAGGTTAGAGCTACAAGTCATTGATTGTATTTATTGTTGGCCGTCTTGATTGAGGAATTTACTAGTACTAACAGCTTTAAAGCGAAGTGTTTCCTACATTTTCAAGCTATACTATAATGGACCTTTATGGAACTTTCATTGAATAAGGTTTAACGGTTTGCCGACACGCAACAGACCCCATTGTATGCATACAATCGTCCCTTTGATCTCAGTTTAAACAATAAAAAAAAATCGCAAAATGCATGTTATTTTTGTCATTTTTAGTGTACCGGATCATGAATCGTATTCCTTTTCTTCACACTCACAGGCTACAGGACCAATACTTCTGAAGGAATTCTGATATAATCACTACTAACTACACGTATCTCAAACACTACGAAACATCGAAGCAATTTATACGCTCAGACCGTCCACAACAAAGACAAACTGCTTATGCAAGCACAAGCATGTTCATCCACGCCTAATTAATTGACATCGGTGTCACAATTTTAGTTTAAATGACAGTAAGTACGTCAGCATTTAACATTTTACCTTCGTATGTACAAAGTATCCACAAAGTACACTAAAAGTTTATAAAAATCTGGTCATCTTTCGCCGAAATATCCAAACAATGAATACAAAATGGCGTCGGTGGCATGTTTCCCAACGTTCAGTATCCCATCAGCCAATGCGGCAAATCTTGCGGCGGGAGATTGAATTCGTTTTTTTTAATGTAAACCAGGATTTGTTTACGTAACAGGGCTAACAGTAGCTAATGCGTTGTGTACAGATGAGTTCGTTGGCGCAGTGTAAGGCAGAAGAAGGCTTGCTTGGAGAAGTCTTACTGGAAGAAGTCTGTTATCGTCTTCTGTTTCTTGCTCTGCAGAAGACATTGGCGGTGGACTTTCCCCTCGGTGCGTGTGAGATGGCTGTACTCGGAGTCGTCGTAGGTCTGCATCCATCGCCGAAGCATTGCCAGGGCTGAGCTCACGTCGATCTGCCGACGATGGAACAGGTAGAGGGCAGGGCTCGCTGTCGTCTTCCGTCTCGGTGATGGTGACAGTTGTAACAAATGGTCTTTCTGTGTGGGTAGGATTTGGGCTACAGTTACTATTACAGTTACGATTACAGTTACAATTACAGTTACTATTACGGTTACAGTTACAAATCCCTAGACTCTCACTCTAAGGAACTAGTTACTAGACTCTCACTCTAAGTAACACCAAAGCCAGGTCGATTTATATTTGATGTGACTTTATTGAGTAACTGCGGTATAAGATACAAAGGCAAAGCGATGCAGCATATAATGGAACTACAAATACAAAGTTATACAACGGAACAGTTACAGAGGGAAACACAATACTAAAAGTCGGCAAAGACTGAGAACCGAAACCAATTACCTGTACAGTCGAGTGTGTTGCAGGAAAAACTACTAGACTAAACTACTACTAACCTAAACCGGTGTGCTGGAACGGAGCTTCCGAGAGGCGAAGAACTTGGATCTAGGGCGCGTCCCGCTATTTTATAGTGCGCGCGGAAGGGCGGAGCGACATCTGCATGGCGGAGGCGTGGTCAGGCTTTGGCCAAGACGTGTCTGGGTCACGTGCTCTCACCAAGTGACCCCAGACTGTCTAATGCAGTAATTGGCCTGTTACACCGTGGTGCACCGGGACTCCCTCACGTCCAGGCAGAGTTCCTCAACGTTGGGGTCCCCGGTGCACTCCACGTTGGCGTCCATGTCCACGAACTCCGTGAACTCCTCCTCTGTCATCCCTTCTAGCATAGGGACGATGGGCTAAGGAGTGTGGTCATCGCACAAAGTCAGATCGCTTCTCTTCTTCGTGAGGACGTTGATCGACATGGCTTTGACTCAGCTGAAACTCAAGACAGTGGTTAGGACCCATTTTTATTGAGGACAACAAGTTGTCTACCAAAGCGCACCACCACCTTTGGTGCCGGTGGCTCTTTAGCGGTTATAATTCAGCGGTCATAAGCAATCTATGTACAGTCCCTTCGCTGAGCACAGCGCATTCGCGGTGAGCACAGCCCCATCGCGATTGAATGCAGTCCCTTCGATGAGGACAACTTTGTACCTTTGGTTTCTCGTAATGTCGGAACCATAGGATGATGGCGCAGCGCTGGCTAACACACGCTGGCTTATGGGATTTATGAACATGCATATCTATGAACCAGGTCGTTAGCAAGGAAAAATATACATCCATTTTACACGCAATTACGCAAAATCCCGGGCACTGATTACGAATGGCGTTAAATTCTCGGCGCCGATGACGTGGGTATAGACAAAAATACAGCGAATATTATTCAAGACTGGGTAGAAATTATAAAGCCTCATGTGAGCGTCAGCCAGATGTAAATTATACATGTACCATGCCTTATTATTTGCGTGCTTTGATTCAATAGCCGTTCTTGTTTTTCGGCGTTCACGGCAATACGTATACCGATTGCCAAACAGGAAATGTTGCTTATGCTTAAAGGTGACCTTGAAGGACCAATAACTGACCTTGCAGCTGAGGGACGTCCTTCTGTACCCAGCTGTCCGCCTGTACTTTGCTCCAAACAATCATCTCCTGGCCGAAGCACGACCGCCACAACCTCTTCATACACACGCTGACGGTGTGTATGAAAAGGCTGTGGAGGTTGTGCTCCGGCCAGGAGATGATTGTTTAGATTCCTGCCGACCTGGGGAACACTCTCCCTCGGTCGTCGCCTCTTCAGGACTGAACCGAAGCGGGGGCAGCCTTACCGGCTCCGGTACCGGGTACTCATGCCATCCTGCACAAGACTCAGACTCGCCTGTATGTTGTCGTGTTTCTTCTATTCTAATGATATTTTTCGCACGAATGGGATTCACTGGTTCGGCTTGGCTGTAAACATTATTGCCAATCGCGTGGATACTAAGTCTTGTTACCGTACATACTGTGTATACAACAGACTGTTTTGCTGTGTTTGACTGTACATGTATTGTAGTAATTGTCTGGCGTTAGTCTTATGGACCAGGTAAACCTTTCTTTCTTGGTGCTCCGTGAAATATGATACACGAGAAGGGCTTCAAGGGAACGCTACATTCTGTTTGTAACATTTTCGTCTGGGCGAACACAGGCGGTCATTTCAATCAGAATCAAGTAAAAAAGGCCATATATGGCTAGAAAGGTTACATAGTGACATTAATGCGAATTTGACTAAGTAAAAGTGAGGGAAGATATTGATAAGGAAAGTTCTCGGGCAATTCATAGTCGATATCTTACTTGTGATGGGCTAAGATATATACAAGGGAAATAAGGACAACATATCCGATATCAATTGTAAAACCATTATTTTTCTCAAGCTTGTAAAACAACAGAAAGCCGTAAAAATCACATTGGGAATGCTTGGGACACTAATTATCTATGGCTAAAGTTACAACAAAGTTTTGCTGAAGTTTTAACTCATTTGCAAACTACTCCTTTGCAAATTATATTATAAAGGACTTCGATGAGTGTTACAAATTTTATACCAACAGGTAAAGCTAAGGGTACCCCTTCAATTTACGAAATACCAGCAGGCAAACAGAAAAACACACACTATCACATTAACATTTAACAAATACTAAACTTAATCAATCACAATATCTAGGATACAAATCAGTACTTTTTAGTAATTAAAAACGTGTACATTAGATTCTTTCTCATCTTTAAAATTTTCTTTCAAAGTACTGTAAATATATTCATTCATAATACCTTGCCATGCTTACATATGTACATTAAATGACTTTCCATTTGATACAGGTTTATATACAGATTTGAATTTAAACGAGAATGAAAATTATGCCATTTGGCCATTTCAAGTCCATACTGACATCAGACTACATGTACAAAAAATAGCCCACGACCAACTAGCTATATATGTACGTTGCCCTAATTGCAACGTACATTTTGTAGATGATAGAAAGGCCTGTATAGAGACAATAGAAAGTGTCAATGTAAATGAGCTTATCTTTGAAATTGTACATGGCCAATGATAGATGTGGTCACTGCCAAGTCTTGCTTTGCTTTGGAATATAAACACACAGTAATGATGACATTAACTGTGTGCGTTAGGATCAACGATTAGGAATCTGACACGTGCCGTGGGTGAAAGGGCGCGATCTAGACTCAGTCCGTCAATCCACACACCCGCAGCAGGTTTTGGTGCGACTCTTCCCAGTACTTGGACTCCAACAGCTTCTTCTTGTACTCTGCTGCTTTGTCGAATTCTGCCTCAGAGTATTCCAAGGTGTCTGCGATCCTTTCTGCCCATTTTCTTGCATCCTCAGCCAGGTCGGACTCCCTCGCGCTTGTTTTCACGATCCTGTACCTCATGTCTGGATGGCATTTCTTCTCCTTGATCAAGTCCTTGATCATGTCTGCCAACCCCGACTTGTCAGAGATGAGTACGGGGATGCCTGCTGCGATGGCCTCCAGACCGATCAGTCCGAACGGTTCGGCACGGGACGGCATCAGGACCAGGTGAGCCTGCTGCATGTCCTGAGCGATGTCCTCCTGGGTTCCACATGGCAGCAGGGTGGGTTTGATCTTGCCACTGTGCAGCTTCTCTTCCAGGATTCTCTTGCTCGCTTCCCAGTCATCTTCATCTATCCCACGAACACACAATCTGACGTTTGTGATCTTCTCTGCGACTTCCCCCAACGCCCGTGCTACCAGGTCATGGCCCTTCAGCTTGTCCACTTCCGTCACTCTCCCGACAGTCAGCACGACTTTCTGTCCTCCTCCTGGTCTTACAGAGATGGCTTCAAACACTGGAGATGGTCTTGGGAGAAACAAAAGGTGTTGGCTTGGTTTGCTTTCTCCAAGTGACCTGTACTTCGTCTCGAAAAATTCGTAGATTCTTCTTCCCAATGAGAACACTGCATCTGCATTCTTTGCATCCTCGAGGATGTCTTTTATCTTCTTCCCCGCGGCCAGCGCTTTCTTAGCTCCCTTGTAGTGCTCTGTCTCTTCTGGTATGTCGTGGTTGAAAAGGACCAATTTTGTCTGTTGACAGCGGTCTTCTTGTATGCTCTTTGCGGCTCCACTGGTGACATCTACATGGCCCACAATGCACTTCAGATCCTGTGGTATGTTTGGGTAGTGAATGCTGTGGTAGTCCGTCAACCATTCCAAAGTTGGCGTTTTCTTCTGCCTTGGTCTTTGGACAGGCAGATGCAGAATGACACCGTCCTCTCCGGCGCACCTCTTGTCTTCTTCAGTTGCTTGCACAGTTGTAGCATGAACTGTAGCACCATGTCGTTTCAGAAACTGCGCCACCTGACGGTTCGCGGTAGAAGTACCTCCATGGGACGTGCCGTACTTATCGTTAACCATCAGAACTGCAGATACGACAGCTGCAATCCGATAACAATGGATGCGTGTCATGAATCGATTTCGAGTTATGACGGGTAAAAATGCAGGCGCTATGAAACGATACTTGCTTAAATGTCCTAAAGGACTATTGCTTCAATTTTTTCCCTCATTAGCTGAAAACCTAGTTGTGTGACTTCACCCATACCTTTCTTCGGTTGCTTTACCGGGGGGCCACTGTCACTGGACTCGTCAACATGCCGCGTTTTGGCTTTCCTCTTTCCACCTATAACCAATATATGGTTGTAATGTTATACATATGATTCCCTTTCGTGTCTAACTTACCGTCGTACGGAATGATAATTCTCAGGTAAAGGTGAAGAAGCATTTAGAATATGGTACGTTCTTACCTTTCTTATGTTGTATCTGGGACGCCTTGATCGTGGTGATCACAGTGCCTTCCTTCTGCTGAACATGACTTTTCTTCCCCTCATCTGCAATATGACATACGATTAGAAAAATGTTTACAGCTTAAATAAATGACAATATATTAGTGTGGATTACAACTTTGCTTCTCCTCTGCATCATATATATATCATTAGCATACACAAATAGAAAATCAAAGATAGAAAAACAATAGACCTACCTTCGGAGTGGAAAAACACTGTTGCTGACGGGATCCGGCGCTTGAGATCTGTTATTTGTGCTCCGGACTCAGAAAGTCGTCTGAAATGGACGGCCCCTTGGTACATCTTTTTGGTTTGACTCGGATTGTTCAGAATCAGTCCAACGGACCACCTGTTGCAGTCAGCTGGTGGGAAGAAGAAGCTGATGCCATCTGAAACATCAAGAGGGTCTCCGATGACTTCTTTCCTGTTGTCAAACGTGGCGTCTATCATTTCTTCCCTTCCCATGACGATGCGTTGTTGAAACGGCGGAAGGGGCAACATATTGGCAGCTCGGAAAAAGTCAGTGGGGTCGTCGTTTTTGTGAACACACATGAGGTGGATGCAGTTGTTGTCTGTTGTTGCCTGGTTTGGGTTTACTATGAGGTACACTTTGTCTTCAGTGTACCTGTTCGAACACGCCTGGAATGACAGAGACGTGCTTGGAGATGTTGAAGTTGATGGAACATTTGAGTCTGACGCCTCCCGATTGGCTGTCTCTTCCCGGTTCCCTGGAGTCTCTACAGTGGAGGTCGAACTTTCGCCGCCTTTGCCACTTTCCTTGGCACCCGCAATCCTGTAAAAACAAGAGGAAGAGAAATATTGAAAACGCCATGTGAACAAGAAACTAGTAAATAACATAACCTTGCCTGGATGCCAAACCCATAGCACACTGGACACAAAATATCTCAGTGAGCCTGGGTCTGGTAGGGTCAGATAGACCTGCCAGTCGAACGCTTAGTATCTGAGCGTAAGGACCCATTGGTGGCACAGCAGGAAGCAATTTTACACCTCTGCTATGATTGGTATCTGCTGTATCTTTGAATCTTCACCAGCAGATGAGATAAAACTGTAAATAAGGTGTATTTTGTCCTGGTGGGTTAGAGGACTGTTACCTAAACAAACAGGAAAGCCTCAGGTTGTACACTACTTCTACTGTTAAATTAAGTTCTGCTATTATTTTGGAAAATAAACTCCAAATACATCTAGACAATTGACTGGTTAATGATTAACTGTTGAGCCCAAGATTGTCTCCTGCTGACCAATGGTGGTGCCATGTAATAGGCAATCACATCTTCTCCTCCCCATGCCTGAGAGCTTTTCCCAAGGCTCACGGCCAGACCCAGGCTCACTGAGATATTTTGTGTCCAGTGCGCTATGGGTTTGGAACCCAGGCTAAACCTAACCTAAAACGTGTGAAATAAATGATCCATCAAGCTAAGTTTATTACCCGGAAAAGTGTCTCGTTGTGAATGTGACTGCGTCCTCTGTCTCTTGAAACTCTGTCCTAAGCAAAGACCACTGGTGTTGAGTTGATTTCTTTTCCATCAGGACGGTCTTATCTGTGCTGCAGTCGCTCTTCTTCCATGCCCACGGCAGGATGACGCTCACGGGCTCTAAGAAGTCCTCCTCCTTTTCCTGGTGCACAGTCAGTATCGGGGTCACAGCTGAGAAAGCCTTTGTCAAGGCGTCATCAATGGGCAGCATTTCGACCTGTAAGATTACAATAAGATACATGTAGGAAGTGGCAAAAGATATCCTTGGTGGATTTGGGGTGATAGTTCATGTTTCTCGGCTGCTCATTAATAATGAGGAACATGAGTCATCCGACTATATGGACACATGTCGTAGCAAAAACAGGAGCTGCTTAATTGTTTTTACGCTACATATAGGCTGGCATGTGACACCAACTGCAAATTAAACTGCAAGTAGATTTGACTTTACCTCCAATGACAGGGACCTCCCCGTCTTGACGCATCCTTTTGGAAAGAAGATAGTGACACCATCCTCCTCAATCTGGCAACCTTCTTCTGTGATTCTGTACGTGTTCAGTACAACAGAAGACGAAGCCTGTAGAAACAAATCGGGATTATTTACAACGACGAAAAGAGATTCGACGCGCCTGTCTTAGTCCACCAAATCGAGAAGATCTGATTACAAAGTATCGTAATGAACTTTGCACTCTATCAACGCACCTTCCTCAGAATATCTGCTGAAACGAGACCAATTTTGGTTCTGGACAGTGGTTCTTCAGCCATTGGTACTTCTGTTGATGCCATATCCAACATCCCCGCACAGCGCCTGCCGAGCACCTCTACCAAACGCTCTCTGGTTCCTTCAGGGTACGCGAAGACCGGAAAGACCAGGTCCTTGTTCTCTACAAAGAATTCGTACCCGAGCGTGGACCAGTGTCTGCTGTGGAGAGTCTGCGGTGTGATGATTGGTACGACCATCCTGACGTTCCCCTGGAGAAGATGGTTCAAGAGTTTGTCTGTGATGATTTCTCCTGGTTCGATGACGTCTTCAGACACTGTTACACCGTACCTGCTGGACGATTGGACTGCCTGTTTCAACAGTGGCTGCACCAGCTTGTCATTGTAGTCTCCAGTGTGTAGGAGAACAATTTCGTTCCCTGGGAATAAATGTGAACGTTAATATTCTAATGTAGACAAACAAGCTGTTAATATTCTAATGTAGACAAACAAGCTAAACAGGACAAAGCATCGCGGAAGGAGGAAGATAAATCAGAGGCTTCAAACTACAGCCAGGGAAGACGTACCTCTCTCTTCCCTGGGGAACATGGGTGCTCTCCCAGGCAGACAAACTTCCACGGACGCTCCCAGCAAGCGACGGCACATGTCTCCGGCCTTGCTGACGGTGGAAACCAACTCATTGAACCTGCTGACGAATGTGAGCTCGTGTCTGATCCGATCACACTGCGCCAGACTCAGCCCTCTGCAGGTCTCCATACAGTCCAAGACAGGACCGATCGTGTGGACTGCGTCTGGGTTCAGCGTGGGCTCTATCAACACGGGTCCGGAACCACCTGAGTTCTCTGCATGTGCAACATGTTTTCATCAGTAACGAGTAAAAAAAACTACTTTAAGAAAATGAGCTAGACAAAATCAGACATCTGAATGTTTTTACCTGCACAGGACGTTGTCATATCACTTCTGCCACGTATCCAGACATTGATGAAGTCTTCTGGAAAACTGAGATAAAAACTATCAATTAATCACACATGGCTTACTGTCAGTGCAATGTTAGGGACATACAAGACAAGTTCAAGAAGAATACTGCGCTTATCAAATGAAAGGGTTTGATTAACGAAAAATTGAAAATACAACTGGTCTCACCGACTGGATTCCGTTGCCGTTTCTTGCCCGATGTCAGACAGTGGGTAGAATACTGGTGTTCCTGTTCCTTTTTCTGACTCCTCCCCAAAGCACCAGTCATACTGGATGGACGGGATCCACTTCTCCTTGATCTCAAAGAGACAACTGCTGAGGAACTTTCTAGCAGGAAGGGCCTGTGTGAACACTGTCTGGTCTTCAGCTTCAGCCGACAGAAGCTCCACCTTAAGGTAATGCTTCACTTTGGTTACCACGAACTGTTGCTTCCCATCGTCGGTAGGGAAGCGGCCGCAGCCGGCGAACACGTGGGACTCTTGAAGACCGAACCTGCGCACACATATGGCTTGTAGACGATAGAACATGCCACTTGGGAGGAACATGTTGTCGAATACGACATACAGAGGATGCAGGTATCTCCTCATGTGCCCAGGATACAAGGTGCTGTCGTCAGGCTTTGTGGCCAGGAGAGACGGTACGAAGTAGATCTCTTCTTTCTCAGGATCACCCGTAGTGTCATCAAACCCACCGATCGGCGTGGCGTTGCAGATAAGGTAGTACTTTTCCATCAGTCGCTTCAGGAAAGGCTTGTGCCGCATTAGAAAAGGTTTCTGCATCTTCTGATCTGCTTTGGTCCAGATGATTGTCAACAGCCTGTCACTGAGGATGCCTTCCGTCTCCAGCCTCCTCCACATCTCGGCAACCTCCCCATCCGTGCTCCTGTCCTGTTGGTACTCCGGGACGGTGATGATGGTCCTGAAGACGTCAATCATCACCTGGGGTCGAAGGGCCACGTGATCACGGAGAACGGGCTCGTTGATGAAGATGATGTCCCCAAGGTCATGTAGGAAGGTCAAAATGTCGGCAACATGGCTGTCGTCCGTGATGCCCACGTCATCACTCCGGGCCAGATCGACGACATCTTGGAAACGGCAAAATGGGTCGTCCTCTCTCCTCTTGTCCATCAGTTTGGACTTCAGATGAAGCCAAGTCATCGGCACCTCCTGGCCCATGAACCAAAGACCCTTCGCCACCTCACGGAGGTATTCTCGGAGCTCGTCAATGTCGCTGTTGTCCTCGTTGAAGTTGTCGATGACAAATATCTTAGGTAAGACGTGTTCACTGGCTGCCTTACCGCGGATGTGATCACGTATGTCTTTCTTGTACTCCTCAATGTCCGACTGAAATTAAGAGCACAAATTTATCTTAAGGACGTAAAGGTACTGTTGATCAATCCCATAAAACAACCCAAGGCTGATCCTTTCGGCCATCTATATTAACTACACGTTTTAGGGCAAAGACAGGCTCAACCACTATTCGTAAAGTTTAGAATGTATCTAAAGATCCTCCATACCTCGCTGACCTTGTCCTTGTGCGTGAGGACCAAAACGACACGCGGCTCTCCTGTCTGCTCCCGCCCGTGCACCAGGGTGTGTGTGCGGACTGAGTTCAGCCAGTGGTCCAAATAGTCTGGACAAGTAGAGACTTCTTATCATTTTTGTGTACAAAATTATCTTTGCCTTATCATTTCAGCTTCACAGCGTTACATATCTTGATGGTATTTAAGTTTTGTTTTTTTTAGTTCCCATGTTCAAGCTTTGAAGTCGACCACCTAGGTTCACTGTTGAATGAATGGTTTATTTACAAATTACACATCGTACAAAACATACAGTAGCAGCCATTATCGGCTGAAATGATGTATGATTTACATTACATTGTTAAAAAGCTCCACTCAGTGATACTTAGGTAACGTAGCATTGGGCAAACAATCACAAGGTAAGGGACAACTGTTAAAATCAGCGCAAGATAACAACATTAATTCTAACTCAACGCTATACATCATATTCTCTAAGAAAAGTCACGCATAAACATTAATATAAATATAAATATACATGTGTTACTCTAGGACTGTCTTGGTCTGTTCGGCGTTTAACAGGTCCACTAAGAACGGCAATGTGCTCTTCCTATATCGTTCCGTCCTACATTTAAACTGTGTTATCTGGTGTTTGGATCTGAGGTTTCTGCCATGAAGGCTCACACGTTTTGGAGGAAGCCAGTTAGAGAAGGTCGTTGAGTTTGATAAGGAAGTAGCAAACTTCGTACATAGTTCCTGGCGTCTGTTGTACAGAGATACAAGTGACAACTGGTTTAAAGCCATACTGTACCTAACAAAGTTTGATCCTAGAATAATCCGACAAGCTCTTTTCTGTACATTCTCTGTCGCACCGGATTGGGCTCATACTGGGCCATACCAGGGTGCCATACTGGGCAGGCATATTCGAGGATTGGTCGGATGAAACCACAGAAGATAAGTACCAAGTCTGTAACGTCAAGCCCATGTCTCTTAAGTACTCGCAACAAGTACAGCCTACGGCTTCCTTTGCTGACCAGCGACGCTGACACGGGTGTTAAAGAAGTATATTGTATAGTGGTACGTACCTCTTCCAGTTACGAGGTTGTCCGCTGCCGCCTTGTAGTCCAGATCAGGAACAGGGTCAGACAGCTTCTGCAGCAGTGACATGACCAGGATGTAGATCCCGCGGTACGTGAAGAAGCACTGGTGCGAGCCGTAGTACGTGGCCTGGCCGCCAAAGTCCCAGAGGGAGAGACGCGGGTGTTCGGCTGTTCCAAGCTGCTCATCGGTCACGCCACTTTGGAGTCGCTCTTTGGCTTTTTCTATGACATCATCCGGAATCTCTTGTGTCTGCTTTTGAACCGTCACGTCACTCTGAAGTCGCTGTTGAGCTTGTATTTTGACATCATCCGGCATGTCTTGTGTTTGTCGTGACGTAGTCGTAACCACACTTGCTTCTCTAACTGCAATGAAAGATTTGTCTTGTTCAATCGATCTTACAATTTTAATGCCATTCATTATTTTGCATCTTTTCTCTAGAGGCCAATTACTACACTTGCATATAGTTTTAACTTGGGATCAAAGATATACATTTACAACAAAGAACCGTCTAACGTAAAACAACAAGTTCCTTTTTTCTAAATCTTCTATAATGTACATTTCTAACTTGTGAAAACATCTATGCATTTCTCACCTTCTTTCTCATCTTTTTTCTCCAGTTTTGGTGTCTGTTGACTTTGTGTCGGCGTCTCGTCCTTCGGTGGTTTCTCCTGCTGCGTTTGCAAAGTCGGCCTCCTTGTCATTTTTTGTGCCTCTCCTGAGTTTTATATCAACACGAGAAAGTCCGTGAGATATCACTATCCCTTCGTCTCTAAGTCTTTGTGTGTTTTTTTAGAGACAGAACTTTAGCAATACGTAGATGATGACGCGTGCAAAAGATATATAGGTGCCAATTCTCTTGTTATGTGCATACATTTTAGATTAATAGATAAAATCTTATGCTTTTAATCTAAAAAAAAGCATTTAACCGTCGTTGTCCTGACTGTGTGCGTTAACATGTTTGCCCTGTACATGAGTATATTATGTCCATTGATATGTAAAAGTGATATTGGATACCTGTAGACTTTCTCCTGACTGCTCCTTGTGCTCCTGACGATGTCCGGGCGCGTGGTTTGTCCCGTTCTTGTTGTTCCGCCAATCGTTCTGCCATAGTTTCCTTGAATTCGTCTGGCTCCTCTGCAAGCAATAGATGCCATTTACAGTATGATTCGTTGTTACAGATGAAATTCCAAAAAACAGTTACTCAAGCAACTGGATATGATTTTGAAAACGTCAGACGTTTCAGCTAGTATCCACTAGCTTTCGTCAGTGACTGAGAGACCAGAGGGGAAAGCAGGTTTATATACACAACCTGTTGATTGATATGCAAATAAAGTGAAGACAAATTTTTTGGAAGTCGAAAAAGGAACAAAAGTCAGACAAGTCAAGACAAGATGATGCAAATTAGTCTGAAAGCTCCTGTTATACAGGACAGGAGCTTAAGTGTTGTCTGTCCTCGGGGCTGGGAGTGCCAAATCCCAAGTGCCGGAAAGATCGACCCGTAGCCCCCCTTCCCTGTTGAGGGTGGGGTTGTACATTCTTTCATATATTGCCTCTTTAACACCCCGTTCCCACCAGCGTGTTTCGCGGTCTAAGACATCCGTGGACTCAAGTTTGAAAGAGTGACCCTGGTTGTGTTGTAGGTGGTGGAAAATAGCTGAGGAGTAGCCGTTGGCACTAGGTCGGCAATGTTCTTTGTACCTTACTTTAAGCGGTCGACTTGTCTCTCCGATGTAGGTGTTGTTACAATTGGGCTTCCTCACATTTGAGTCTGTAAATAACATTCGCCTTGGTACCCTTGTGAGGTCGGTCCTTAGGGTGTACCAGTCTTTGTCTGAGGGTTGAGTGAGGTTTGAAGTTAGTGGCTATGTTGAAGTTTTGGAAGATCCGTCGGAGTTTCTCAGATACTCCTTGGACATACGGAATAGTGATGTTGGCCTTGTTTTTGTTGGTCAAAGGTTTGCACTTCTGGGTTTTCTTAGACTGATCTGAAGGTTTGGGCGCTTTGTTGAAAGTCCAGTTTTGGTAGCCACATTTAGCCAGGGCACCTCGGAGGTGTCTGTGTTCGTCCGTTTTGGCTTGGTCTGAAGTGACAATGTTGTCTGCACGATGGAAGAGAGTTTTGATCACTGCTAGTTTGTGTTCCAAAGGGTGGTGGGAATCAAAGGCCAGGTACTGATCAGTGTGGGTTGGTTTCCTGTACACTTCGAAACGAAGGTTATCATCTTCCTCTACGATAGTTTTGGTGTCTAGGAAAGGGAGCATGTTGTCATGGCTTGGTTCCTGTGTGAACTTGATGTTATCATCTATCTGGTTGATGTGGTCAAAGAAGTCAGCAGCTACCCTCTTTTTCAATCTGCACCAAGTGTCATCTACGTATCGAAACCAGTTGGCCGGGGGAGTGTCATTGAAAGTGCTGAGGGCTTTGTTTTCAAACTTCTCCATGTACAGGTTTACAACAATTGGTGAAACTGGTGATCCCATAGCACAGCCGTGCATTTGTTGGTAGAACTGTCCTTTGTAGGTAAAGTATGTGCATCCTAAGCAGAGTTCTAGTAGCTCACAAACTTGGTCAACGGATAGGTTGGTTCTATCTGCAAGTGTATCATCGGCTTCCAAGGCTTCCTTGACTACTGACACTGCTTCCTTGGGTGGTATGGAGGTGAAAAGTGAGCACACGTCATACGAAGTGATGGTTTCATCATCCTCTACATGAATGTCTTTGATTTTGTTGACAAAGTCGGCACTATTCTGTACATGGTGCTGAGATTTCCCCACTAGTGGTCCTAAAATCGTGGCTAGAAAACCTGCTAACTCATAGGTGACAGAGCCTATACTGGAGACTATGGGTCGTAGAGGGACACTTTGTTTGTGGATTTTGGGCAGGCCGTAGAAAGCAGGGGGTTGTTCCGTTGTGGGATTGAGTTTTAGGTAGGTGGGGCGATCCAGAACTCCTTCAGTTTGCAATTTCTTGAGAGCTGAACTGATTTTCCCTTTAAACTTGTTAGTGGGGTCCTTTTTCAAGGGCGTGTAGGTGTCTTTGTCTCCCAATAGGTCTACGCTTCAGTCTACGCTGCCTCAAGGTAAGTATCACACCCACCAGCCTACGCCTAAAAACTTCCATCAGAGGCTTCAACGCCAACAAGATCATCTTCAACGCGGAAAGAAAGTTACTAAACGAAAGGGTAAGACAGATCAACTACAAATTAGACGGTCTAAACGCGAGGAAATCTAACCTTGAAAAACTACTGAGGGAGAAACTATCAGACGAGATTTTTGCCGAAACTAAAGAGTTCATAACACGCGGACAACTTGATCAGCACGAGAAGGGAAAAGACAGACAGAAGACCAAATTTGATCGTTTACAGCAAAAGAAGACTATTAGCGCAGCAGATAGTGACCCAAATTGGAGACCAAACAGTTCCGAACCCAAAACCACTACACAGGCCAAAACCGACGAGAGGTGGGTAAAAACCTAAGTAGCCATACTCTCACAGGACCAGAGAAATCACTGCTTTCTAAAGGTCTAAATTTTGCAGTAGCACCCAACAAGATTCCCAGCATTGACATTGTGACAGAAACCGAGTCAGCAACTCGTCGGGCACGTTTAGCACAGAGACAAGCTGAAGCCTTGCGCACCAAAGTAGCTACCACCCTGAAAGTCTCCAAACCCCCTGCTAGTAACATCACACGGGAAGAACGTACCGCTCTCAAAGATTTGGCCACCAATCAAGACATATTGATTCTTCCTGCAGACAAGGGCAGATGCACAGTAGTCTTTGACAGGGAGCATTACGACAGGAAGGTACAGGACCTATTGGGAGACAAAGACACCTACACGCCCTTGAAAAAGGACCCCACTAACAAGTTTAAAGGGAAAATCAGTTCAGCTCTCAAGAAATTGCAAACTGAAGGAGTTCTGGATCGCCCCACCTACCTAAAACTCAATCCCACAACGGAACAACCCCCTGCTTTCTACGGCCTGCCCAAAATCCACAAAGTGTCCCTCTACGACCCATAGTCTCCAGTATAGGCTCTGTCACCTATGAGTTAGCAGGTTTTCTAGCCACGATTTTAGGACCACTAGTGGGGAAATCTCAGCACCATGTACAGAATAGTGCCGACTTTGTCAACAAAATCAAAGACATTCATGTAGAGGATGATGAAACCATCACTTCGTATGACGTGTGCTCACTTTTCACCTCCATACCACCCAAGGAAGCAGTGTCAGTAGTCAAGGAAGCCTTGGAAGCCGATGATACACTTGCAGATAGAACCAACCTATCCGTTGACCAAGTTTGTGAGCTACTAGAACTCTGCTTAGGATGCACATACTTTACCTACAAAGGACAGTTCTACCAACAAATACACGGCTGTGCTATGGGATCACCAGTTTCACCAATTGTTGTAAACCTGTACATGGAGAAGTTTGAAAACAAAGCCCTCAGCACTTTCAATGACACTCCCCCGGCCAACTGGTTTCGATACGTAGATGACACTTGGTGCAGATTGAAAAAGAGGGTAGCTGCTGACTTCTTTGACCACATCAACCAGATAGATGATAACATCAAGTTCACACAGGAACCAAGCCATGACAACATGCTCCCTTTCCTAGACACCAAAACTATCGTAGAGGAAGATGATAACCTTCGTTTCGAAGTGTACAGGAAACCAACCCACACTGATCAGTACCTGGCCTTTGATTCCCACCACCCTTTGGAACACAAACTAGCAGTGATCAAAACTCTCTTCCATCGTGCAGACAACATTGTCACTTCAGACCAAGCCAAAACGGACGAACACAGACACCTCCGAGGTGCCCTGGCTAAATGTGGCTACCAAAACTGGACTTTCAACAAAGCGCCCAAACCTTCAGATCAGTCTAAGAAAACCCAGAAGTGCAAACCTTTGACCAACAAAAACAAGGCCAACATCACTATTCCGTATGTCCAAGGAGTATCTGAGAAACTCCGACGGATCTTCCAAAACTTCAACATAGCCACTAACTTCAAACCTCACTCAACCCTCAGACAAAGACTGGTACACCCTAAGGACCGACCTCACAAGGGTACCAAGGCGAATGTTATTTACAGACTCCAAATGTGAGGAGCCCAATTGTAACAACACCTACATCGGAGAGACAAGTCGACCGCTTAAAGTAAGGTACAAAGAACATTGCCGACCTAGTGCCAACGGCTACTCCTCAGCTATTTTCCACCACCTACAACACAACCAGGGTCACTCTTTCAAACTTGAGTCCACGGATGTCTTAGACCGCGAAACACGCTGGTGGGAACGGGGTGTTAAAGAGGCAATATATGAAAGAATGTACAACCCCACCCTCAACAGGGAAGGGGGGCTACGGGTCGATCTTTCCGGCACTTGGGATTTGGCACTCCCAGCCCCGAGGACAGACAACACTTAAGCTCCTGTCCTGTATAACAGGAGCTTTCAGACTAATTTGCATCATCTTGTCTTGACTTGTCTGACTTTTGTTCCTTTTTCGACTTCCAAAAAATTTGTCTTCACTTTATTTGCATATCAATCAACAGGTTGTGTATATAAACCTGCTTTCCCCTCTGGTCTCTCAGTCACTGACGAAAGCTAGTGGATACTAGCTGAAACGTCTGACGTTTTCAAAATCATATCCAGTTGCTTGAGTAACTGTTTTTTGGCATATCGTATTACCTGGATGTCTAACCTTCATCGACGTACAGATGAAATTCTTTGGCAATTGGTATCTTAAACAAACATGGTATTCATTTGTTGTTTTGTGATATGCTGTTTTTTTAGATGCAAAATGATCATGTATAATTGCATGACACGTACTTGTGGGCCCAAACTCTCTAAGTAGTAAGATCTATAATGTCGCGCCAGGTGATAGATATTAACATGTTTTCGGACCTTTTGCCTTCCGCCAAGTCTTGGTCTTCACGCTGGGTGAAATCTCGATGCCGTCTGTTATCGGTTCATTCTCTACAGCCTTCTCTCCCGTCAGCCTCCTGACGACACACGTCTTCCCGGATCTGAACTGACCAACCACGAGCCCGCGCACGCTGTGCACCGGTCGCGCCCCCTGGCGGCAGGCCTGGGAGTACAGCTGCTGCATTCCAGGACCCCGCAGCTGTATTTCGAGTGGAACACTGCTGTCTCCTGGATGAGAAGATTTAAACAATTCATCAGACATCATTTATAATATCATTTTGCTTCTCGTGCTCTTACGTAAAGCTGACGTCTGATTAGATAGATAGAATGATCTACTGAGTCAAGTATTTGTATTTCACAGCTAAAATAGTTGTGTTATACCTTCTTTTTTCGACATCCCTAAGTCTTCACGATGTCCCGTGACGTCCTCAGTCCCCATGTCGTCTGTGGGGAGGCTCCGCTTGCTGCCGCCCTTAAACCTACGATAGTTGCCGATGAAGTTCTGAAAAAATCATTACAAATTACTGTTAACAATTATGATACAACGAAAAGATGAATCACAATTCATTTGAGGCACAGAGTACGATTTTATAAGGCTCTTGATACAGAAAATTTACGAGTTCCAGCTAAAGCTCCTCTATCAGCACAAAACGTTTTAGCCTTTAGTGAGATATAAATAACTAAGCTCAAGGGATCAACCAGTCATCATAAAGACACACCTTCACTTGGTCTACAGTTTTCCCGCTCTGCTTAGCTGCTTCTTCTATCAACGGACAATCCTTCTTCGCCTCGGTCATTCCTCTTTCCTCATAGAACCGGACGAGTACAGGATCGTAGCCTTTCTTACGTGTGGAGACTTCCTGTAAACATGCACACGTGAAAGTGAGTTATGTTTGGTATGAGGGCGGTTCTACAATTCTTTCTGAAACACTTCTGGTCATTGCAGTAGGCTAAAATTAGACATATATATTTATTTCACTCCATGGAGTGAAATACTGTTTTTCCTCATGTTACTTCTTCTGCCTTTTTTTAAAATCGATTCAGCTCTTTCCTTTTTGGGCCAAATAATATGAAATTTGGCATGAAGGTACAGTGGGCAAATACCCCCAGGTGTTTTTTTTTTCAATTTTCTTGATACAGGCTTTTAGAGTGGTTTTATTTGGACTTTTTGGCTGCGTTATAGGTAATGTACTATAGCAGTGTGTGTTGCCAAGATTGGAGTGTGACCATATTTGGGCATAGGGCGAATGCCAAAATATGGGCAGCAGGTGCAACCTGTTTGGAGATCTGGTGGCTGATTGGCTGCTCTCTTAATTACTTTACTGCTAAATGAACACCTTTGTATGCTTCCACATACTCATAATAGGAATAGTTAACTTTGTTTTTTTACAACTATTAGCCAGGAAAAGAAATCTTTTGGGTTGTAAATCGGTACAAACATGTCTTATAACCTACATTTCTATATACCTTGCTATTTTTAAAACCAAATTTTACAATTTTTAAACCAAATAAGCTGCTTTCCTCTATTCTTCTTGCTGATTGGCTGTTGAGGTCTAATTGGGTTAACTGTATTAACAGCTGCACATAGCTATACCATATAGACAGTATTGAACTGCATTCAAGTGTTTTGGGGTAGGTATGTCAAACTTTCCTTCTCAAGCATTGGAATGCATTTGGCATAAACGTTTTTTTTAAGATATTATCTTGAAAATCAACAGTTAGCATTATGCAAATAAAAATCACAACCAATAATGTAGGGGATAGATATCCAACTGTTGCATTCTTATATGTCACTTCATACTATGTTCATATCAATATAAAGCAATGTTTTCCCTTGTATTTCTCCTTCTTTCCCTGTCATGTCGTGAAACGTGGTGAAGCCATGCTGAATCTGCTTCAAAGCAAATGTCGGCCTTTCTTGTTTTTCACTGTACCTTTATGTTTACGGTTTTCACTGTCACTTCTGTATCGTGAACTTATCATTACAGTTAACACATAATTCCTGGACTTTCTTTTTCCTAGGATCCTGCACCTGTCACCACCGTGAATATATAGTTCCGTAAACATGTCCATTTTTCTCAGACCGTGAAGTGCTTGTCCTTGTATCTTTGTAAAAAAATGGGAGATAATTGCCAAGTGCCATTTTTAATAAAGCTGTTGAGATTCAAAAAGCCTGTCCTTGTATAATTGCAGTATGATTTATTCAGAATCTTCTATTATTGTTTGGGGAGGGATGATGGAGTGAAATATTATATTTGCTCGAAAGCAAAATTAATGTTGGCCTTTCTAGTTATACATATACATATCTCTATAGCTATATCACATGCCTTCCAACTGCGCTTGTAGCTAAATGGTTCTACGCAATTCTGATGATAGTCATAATGCATATCTCTCCGGCCTGCCAAGCAGAATGCAACAATTCAAATACTAGTATGCGTACCAGGGGAACTAAAACAGAACTTCATATCATCTTCATCTTGTAGTTTAATATCAGAAGCAGTTGTTTGTGAACCGAAGTGTTTGACAAGAAATTTCATGGTACCTAGTCCTTCGTTATCGAAGAAGACTGCTAGACAAGAAATCTACCGAAATCTTAATCATATTCTTTAGATATAATGCTTTATGATTTTGCATGCCTTCCAACTGCGCATGCCCTTGTAGCTAAATGGTTCTACGCAATTCTGATGATAGTCATAATGCATCTCTTTCCAGCCTGCCAAGCAGAGTACATCAATTCAAATACACTAGCACGCGTACCAGGGGAACTAAAACAGCTTTATATCATCTTCAACTTGTAGTTTAATATCAGACGCAGATGTTTGTGAACCGAAGTGTTTGACAAGAAATTTAAAGTCATCTTAATCATACTCTTTACATGCTTTATGATTTTGCATCACGCAAGTTTTGAATCGACTCACATTATTTTGTTGTCGGAGAAGCTTCAGTATTTCCTTTCTACCACGAGTGATTCGTTCTTCCTCATCTTCGTCGTCCGGATCAGCGTCACGTGTGTCCTCATCTGCAGCGATGTCCTCCGCTGCTTGACCATCCTGGGAATGAACATGCTGTCAATTATAGGCTTATGAATGTTGAAATATCGGAAATAAACGCGACTGAATGAGAAGATAATATTTATTAAGCATCTAGAACATATACAGAAGGTACATCAGAAAAGCCCCTGTCTAGAAAGAAATTGGTTTGTAGGTGCTTATGTGATACGTACAATGCAGGAATATCAGAACACATCGTGATTTGTGTGTTTATCCCAACAACAGCTTCTCCTTGCCTCGGACAGTAATGTATGTAGTATCATCATCATAATGTATGTGGATCATCATTGAAAAAAAAAGTTTAATTTTAAATTTTTCTCCCAAAAGAAGTAAAGCCAATATTGTATTTCTGGATTGGTGGTCAGCTATTTACCAAAGAAGCCGAAGAACCGACTGACCTTGTTCCTGAGACCGGCATCAGCCCCGTGCTGCAGCAGTATTTCCACACACTTGGGGTGGCCCCGTGTAGCTGCAACATGGAGGGGTGTGTCTTCCTGTTGGGGCATTGACAGTGGAATTTTAACCCTCAGTACGATCAAATAGCCGACACCTTATGAATGTTTATATTTACATCACTTACTGACTCCAGGCCCGCTTGAAACCATTCCCTAAATTTGCCTTTTATACTGATTGTTTCTAATAATGGAGCGGGACAATCTTAATCTTGTCCCGCTGACATTTTTACACAATATTTTTTTCAATTTCATGTCTTAATCAGGTCATCGACCCCTGACTTTTTTGCCATGTGATGGCGTAGCTATTTCCGTATTCGCTGCGTTTCGCTGCGGTGTGATGCGTACCCAAATTATACATATACAGGGCACAATATGCATAATAATGTATGTGCAGCCCATGCTTTATGACACAAAAAATATATGATGTATTCCGACAGTTGATAATATTCTGTATAGCCCCATCCGTTCCAATCCGTACCAGCTTCATGTTGGCAACAAGTTAAATTGAAGACAGCAAATAAACCAGAGTAAGAAGATTAAGAAAATGAATGTCAAATCTTACAAGATGATACAGAAATATTTCTTGTTTCACAGCAATCAGTCTACCTACCCGCTCGTCCCGTGTGTTCACATCTGCACCAGCTGTCAGTAAAACTGATGCAGTTTCATGGCGGCCCTTCCCGGCTGCCAGGTGCAGGGGAGAGACTTGCTGTAAAACACATCTGATGGTCTTCAGCATGACAACAGGTCGAACAAATGTGCAGTTATGTTGGTGACTGTTCTAACGGAATTCAGCATGTAAATCACTATATAGAAGATGAATATAAAATCTTATAAGAGAAAAAAATATTTCTGTGTCGCAGTGGTCAGTCTACCTACCCTATTGTCCTGTGCGTTCACATCTGCACCAGCTATAAGTAAAACTGATACAGTTTCATGGTGGTCATTCCCGGCTGCCCGGTGCAGGGGCGTGACTTCCTGTAAAACACATCAAAAAGTCTTAAGATTGCAACGTAACGGACAAATATGCACTTTGTATATTGTTGTGTGTTAGTGATATTTTGTGTTGGTGATATTTTAAAACAGCAAATACTATATAAAAAATTAATGTCAAATCTTACAAGATGATACAAAAATGTTTATTGCATCACAGCGATCAGTTTACCTACCAACCCGTCCCGTGCGTTCACATCTGCACCAGCTGTCAGTAAAACTGATACAGTTTCACGGTGGCCTTTCTTGGCTGCCTCGTGCAGGGGATAGTCTTGCTGTAAAACACATCAAATGGTCTTCAACATGACAACAGGTCGGACAAAAGTGCACTTATGTTGGTGACAGTTCTAAGGGTAGTCAGCAAATAAACCACTAAGTAAGAAGATGAGAAGATTAATGTCAAATCTTACAAGATGATACAGAAATATGTCTTGTTTCACAGCGATCAGTCTACCTACCCGATAGTTCCGTGCGTTCACATCTGCACCAGCTGTCAGTAAAACTGACACAGTTTCATGGTGACCATCCTCGGCTGCCTGGTGCAGGGGAGAGTCTTGCTGTAAAACACATCAAAAAGTCGTCAGTATTGCATGCAACATAACGGACAAATATGCACTTTGTATATTGTTGTGTGTTGGTAATATTTCTGTGTCGGTGACATGCTTTTTGAACCAAAAATGCAAGATCCCATAAAGAAAGTGAATGTCAATTTATACAAAATGGCACAGAAATATCTGTTGTATATGCATCACAGCAGTCATTCTACGACAGTCTATAGAAGATGTATGATAAGTCATACAAAATTGTTCAGCAATATTTTTTGTATTACAATAGTCAGTCTACCTACCCACTCGTCCCGTGCGTTTACATCTGCACCAGCTGTCAGTAAAACTGATACAGTTTCATGGTGGCCATTCCCGGCTGCCCAGTGCAGGGGCGTGATTTGCTGTAAAACACATCAAATAGTCTTCAGCACGACAACAGGACGGACAAATGTGCACTTATGTTGGTGACAGTTCTAAAGGGTAGTCAGCAAATAAACCGACACAGTAAAGCTGATAGCGTTTCATGGTGGTCATTCTCGGCTGCATCATGGCGGGCTGAAGCTAACTTGTAGAAGTAAAATTTGAGCTGCTGAAGCTATGTGAAAAATTCCAAGTATTGCTTTGTTTTGTAAAATGTTACGGATATGTTACAGACAAGCTAAAAGCTGAAGACGGGTGCAGGGACCAGTGCGGCCTTGCCCTTCCCATCTATGTCTTTTATAAGCAGTTTGCCCCTCCTGCCTCTTGATTTTCATTGCACATCCTTAAATGTTTCATCACCATATATAAGCAAAGTGACGAAAGACTTGGCAACAAA